ATGCAGTCACTTTTAATTGCTGCATGTCACTCACATGAGGGGAGACTTCCAAAATGACAAAAGATAAAATGCAGCCTTTTTAAATGAACTTAAGTTTAGTTATCCGTGTACTATGAATTCCAGGTTGATAAACTATACCATACTCATGGCAAAACCTGTTCACTTAAACAGTAAGGTTTCTCCCACCTTGCTTCTTTTCTGTTCTTTGCTCTTCACTGATTGGTCTTGATACTTTCTCCTATACTTATTGGATTGTCTCATCATTTAGCATTGCATCATGTCACTTTTGGGCTTCTGCCAACAGGACGCCTCTGGTACATCATACCTGGATTTTCATACGGCGGATCTGACATTGGCTTACATAAAGGAGGACAATTAGGTTGGAGCTTTTATATGCAATGCCACTATGTATCTACCTAAAATGATACTGGATTTCTCTGCTAAATATCAGAGCATATGTGAGAGAAACGCATCTTGATGGCATCCATTACCATGGTGACTCGTTTCTTCATTCCTTTGTATAGACTACTATTACCATTTACCTTAAATTTCTTTTAGCTGGATCCAGTTGCGCAAAGCTTTGCAGAATGTTTCTTGTTTTGTTCTACTATGAATTGAAATCTCTTCAGGACCTTCAGAGTTATATTCATCCTGTTTTCAACTTCTCTTGTGATATTTCTGCTTCTCTCCAATCCTCTCTCCTGAACATTTACATCTCTTATTCATTCTAAAGGCCAATATATAGCCAGCTTAATAATTACTTTTGAAATGCCATGCAACCAAAGGAAAAAAAACAGGGCTAGAAGCCTCAGGAATCCAGAAGTTCCCCCAGGATATTGACAAGGGCAATGCAGGGCTGGGATTTCATCCTAATTCCCATACAACAGAATAAATCAACTCCAGGACAGTTGAGGAAAGCTGTTCTGTTTGCATTTCAGGAAAAGTTACACAAGACACTCAGAAAGCAGCTTCTTCAGAAAAACCCATTTCTAGCATCCATTAATTCAAAAAGGCACAGAGCCATTCTTTTGAAATACGTAGGGAGTAATAACTAATACAGTATATCCTCAAAAGCACTCACCAAGTTACAAGAAAACTATTCAGGACACAGACATGCAATGTCTGCAATTCCATTTCTGATTTTTCATAAAAAGAAGCTAAAATCACAGTTGGCAAGGGTTCTAAAATGCAACAGTAATCCATAAATACTCCTTAATTTTCCTGTTATTGCAGAATTAAGCTACTTCCAGCTCACACAGATCTTACCAGGTGTGCTAAATTGATGTCATTATAAACCATCAGGAAATACCCACAGAGACCTGTAGCAACATTTAGAAGTTTTGTTAAACAGCTGTGTGTTATAATTGATTTGTATTATTTAAAACAGCTAAAGCAAGTTATCTCCGGATGTAGAAAAGGGATGACTGAAGACTCCAGGGAGATTTAACTCACAAGAAAGCCAATTGTAGGAACTTCATTTGAGCATTTTAAGATTATTACTAGAGGAAGTGCAATTAAATCATCACCATTTATCAATTATCACTATAAAATACTATGCAACCTTATCATACTAATTTATTTATGACAAGGTAACTAGATGATTTCTGCTTTCTGCAATAAAAATCATCTAGTCAGTAAAAACATCTGAAGGCACGTTCTCTAAAAATGAATGTGACTTTCTAATGATAATCAAAGGTAACAAAAAAGAGTTCAAATTTTACCTAAAATCTGTTTTTAACTACATTGGCAATGTATTTCCTACACACCTAAGCTCTTTAGCACTTAGGTACTGTTCCACTTCTGGTCTCAGATATAAAGGGAAGAGTCTCAGATATAAAGGGATGAGTATGAAAATTTCATAAAAGACACAGAATATAAGTTACAAATGCTCAGTTGACACCTGTGGATCTGTGACTTATATGTGGCAGTGTGACTCCCTCATCCCCAGCCTACCAAGCATTTAAGTCAAGGGTTAAAAGTTAAATAATTATCCAATGACATTTTTGTTCATTTTTTTCCCAATGGTGAATTGCTTGTAGAACTTAAAGTTTTTTGTCTGTTCTGGAGCAAAATCCTAAGTGTTCCTTCTCTGCTGTTCATGTGTACTGAGAGTTCAAGCTTGTTTTGGTGAGTTTGCCCAGTGACTTGCATTACATGATCTGTGTCCCTGCAGGCAAAGCCTAACCCACATAACAAAATGGGTCAGCAGAAATGCAGAAGAGAAGAGAAACTGTATCTTTCAGTTCAGAACCCTGACCCACTTGAGGGCAAAAAGCACGCTTTTTCTTGCAGACCTAACTTGTTTTGATCTGAGCCTTGCTGGCTATTACTTACAGTATGCTTGTATTATGTTTTATAATTTCTGTGAGAATTCTCTTATTTTCACTGTTGTCTTATACATGATCTGGCATACGTATCTCTCAATTTACAAGGGGAAGTGTTATACCAGCAGTTGCTGGCTCTTGTAATACAATAGTGTTGGCACAGCTAATTGTGCCAGTGCTTTCCCTCCCTTCCAAATTTGTCAGAGACGTACCAAAAAACATGCATTCCCTTTATATTCTGGTCACTGGAATGAATGACCACAAGTGAACGTACCCTCACTGCCTGGTGCCTTCCTGCTTACATCTAAAATTAAAACTACAGACCTCTTAAAGCCACTTTCCCAGGGGCTCTCTCACAGACATGTACAAAAGCACATTTTCAATGCAGGAATGCAGTTGGTGCCTACGGACCCTGTTCAATACTGATGTGAAGCAGGCTCACAGGACAGTGAAATTCAATGGTCTTAAGCCACAGGTACATAGGCTTCATGGAGAAGAAGTGTGCAGAAGACGTAGGGGAAAAAAAGTAATTCTAAATTGCGTGTTTATTAGAACAGCTGAAGGACCTTACCATCTCCAGCTTCTACCTGCCAGAAGTTTCAATATCATGCTTGAGGCTCAGTCTGTATTATTCTAGAAGAAACAGCTTAACTTGGTCAGCAATGTCCTTATTTAATGGACATTGCTTAATGGACATTATTTAATGGAGTAACACCTCGATGCGTTATGTTCCAAAGTATTTTGCTATATAACTAATAATTTCTTGGAAATGTTCTTTCTCATATCATAATTTCTGTTTGTCACTGGATTCATATAGGCTGAACTGCCCCTGGGAAAATACCACCAAGTCAAGAGGCTCAGCATGCCATACATTTTACCATCCTTAAAACAAGTGCATGTGTAAGCCTCATACACATCTCCAGCTATAAGATGTAGGACAGTTTTACTTTACTGTTCATTAAGAGTAATTTTGGGGTGGAAGTTCTCTGGTTTTCCTTTGGCTTCCATTACTTTGATTTTATATATTTCAAACATATTCTTTATACTTTATTCTCAGTAGCACTGCATTATGATTTATTATCTATACAGGGTTGTAGGTTCTCGCAGTGCTTTGCATCAAATAGAAAGAAAGAAACAGTGCTATCTATTGAATGTGAATGTGGCTTTAGGCCATAGAGGAATCTGGAAGGTTGTATTAGAAGGCAAAAACACCTCCAACATGCACACAGTAAACACATCTATACATTTTTACATGTATAAACTATCCACAAGCCAGAACAGCTCAGCTGGGAAATACTAAAGATTTTAACACCAAAAGATTTCTATCATCTGACTATAGGTCTCTATCTACCAGGAATGCAAGAATATACATTCAATGAAGGCAAAGTTAATTGAATCCTCTGCCTCTCTATGCAGAAACAGTGATCACTTAGCTACAAATCTTTAACTTCAGCTATGAATCACAAAACTTTACAATCTGAACTATAAAACTTTCTTGTACAGATAGACAGCTACCTGCTAGCATAAAATCTAATTTTCTCATCTTCATTCTGCAGTAGACAAGCTGGGTAATTAACACTTTATTTAAAAGCATCTATTATGAGAGAATCTGCAAACTCACAATTAGAATTCAGAAATGCACAGTGAACATTGGATTAACCAATGTCTGTGAAATTCCCAGGGAGCTATTATAATACAAATAATAGTCTGTGGCTGAAAAAACATGAATGTTGCCTGTGTTCCCATGATTGAGTACTATTTACAAACAGTAATTAAGTTGTATTAGTTGAATTATGGGAACACCTCTAGACCTCAGTTGAGGCTACATTCCTGTTGTGCCAGCTGCTGTATTAAGAAACCTGTGTACCCGGAAACAGCTAAGATCAAGAAGCCAGTGACTGAAGCAGTAGAAGAATAGAGGCATCGGTGTGTTCATCTGATGATAAAGACTTCACACTTGGAGAGTCTCCACTCTTTGTCCAAATTTGAACTGCAGGCCTGGAGCAATCAGCTCAGCTCTGAGCCAATTCACTTTTCCTATGCACAAGTGAGACTATTTTCAAGACCATCATGCAACCCCAGAAACATGGCATAAATTGCTGAAATAGTCTAGTGACTTCAAGACCACTTCAAATAAAAGTGATTTGAATAGCTCTAAAACAAGGCAGTGATAGCAGAATTCACTAATCTGTTTCCTCTTGTAAAACAGTATTCATTAATCACTGATTCTTAAGCACAGTTGTCAGCAATAACATATTATTTGACTGAGAGATAAATTTTCTCTCCTTCAATCCTAGCAATTGGAAATTTATTTAAAATAAAAAATTATACAGTCTTTTTAGTAATTTGATTAGCAGACAATCTGGGAAATGTTGCATTACTAGACAAAACTTAGGTAAATAAGACTACTTTCTTATGTACCCAAATCCATGATTACTCAAATCACCAAGAGGTTTCAAGACTGGCTTTGGAAAATTATTTTAAGTGAGAGATAATGTCACATTCAGTTTTAAGTGGTAAATTCTTCAAAATCCAGGTCTGAAACTGTAGTTGGCTAAGTGGCTCAAACAGCACCTCAGTAAGACTTTTATTTGCATACAGAAGAGAAATAAGACCAGTGAGGATTTGGGCATATATTGCATTCATCAATTGTGTAAAGGACTAGTGGCTTCTCACCTGCTGTGTAATAGTGTCCCATGGCCCTTCCTGCAGGCGAGCCTGGTAGCACACATGAACACTTTTCCAAATTTCATCCAGCGTTAAAGGTCTTCCATCTGTGGTAGTGGGAAGGGGAAAAAGCACCCACAGTTAACACGCTTAAGTAGGCAGTATCTTTAGTAGAGAGCAGCAAAAGTAAATACAAAAATACTGATTCTCTGGAGGGAGAGGGAAACAATCACATCAAAATGTGATTGACACAATTCTGGCCTCATAACTCCAGTACAGCACAGTTCAAATCCTAACTGGATATCTGTATAAAACTATCCTGAATTCTCAAAACTGACATAAACACTCTGATCATCTTTAGTCTCTGTCACCTGAGAGCAACAACTTACTTTCCAGGTTGCAAGTTGTAAAGTTAAACTAATTATGTAAAAAAACACTTGGGTAAAAGAGATTGAAAAACACTGCCCTTCAGTAACCTAGATGACTGCATTGTTGCTGCAGGCTTTTAGTTAGGATTATGCCAAGATATTAGTGTCAACCATTTTGAAAATAAGCATGTCAGTTTTTTTCCTGAATATTTGTTTTTGACAAACAGCAGCAGGATATTTGGATATATTTTCAATAAGTAGCTACATCTTAGCATTTATTAAGTGTCAGAGACTGTTATTGTGTGATAACTAGTTTTATTCTACTGACACTTTCACATCTATAAAATGAACAAGATTTATGCACCAAATTAACATCTGAATACCACGTTTAGGTGTAAGTTAACAACAGCTGCATACTGCCACTGTTTCAGTCTCTGCACACATTTTACAATGCAGCTCCAAGTTTTGCCCTTACATAAGCACGACAGAGCAGGAGCATTAAGATATGTAGCAAATGAAGCATCTGTGAAGGCAACAGAATATTCGGTAGATACACTAAGCTATCCTCAGGAAGGTGAGACCAGCTAGATCTTCATGTCCTGGAGCCTATGATGGCAGATATCAAAGTTGCTCTGGAGGCAATCTAACACCTACTAAGAAATTTGGTATTAGCATGTAAGTCAAGTTTAGAAGGAAATATTTACACTCAGATCATCAGTGTATAGGTAATACAAAATGCCATGGATTTTGTATTGAAAATGCCATTTTCAGTTTTCTGATTGCCTGCTAAGGCAGTCCAGAACAAGTCCCAGTGCAAAATGTAAAATAACACACATTTCAATAAAAATTTTCATCTGCTCCTCTCGATTTTGCTCTGTACACCTTTGTATTTGTGAACTGTTGGAACATCCCTTGAGCAAATTCAGATTATACACATGGAATGTATTATTCTAACTTTAACTATCTCTAACTTAAACTGCTCAACTAAATTTTACATCGATAGAAATGATAGAGTACATAACAAGTATTAAGCATGTTATGGTTAGAAATCACCAGTTTTGCTTTTACTTCATGTATGAAAAGCAGTACATGTTCCATTTCAGTACAGTATTATTTTCATTTCAGACAAAAATATGAATAAATTTAAACTAAAACCTTTACATTACCTAAGTGAGATCACAATAAAAAATGTCATTGGTTATTACAAAGGGATTGCAGCATTTCACATAGGAACAAAAAAACTGATCTGGGCATTCTGATCATGGGATTTACATAGTGAAATATGTTTGGATTTAAGCCCCTTGCAAATTTTGAATTTTCTTCACAAATTTAATATGTTTCACTAAACTTTAAATGAGTTTGAAATCGGTCATTTTTTTTTATTTTAATTGAGCAAGGTTTCATACATACTTCCAAGTAAATTCCTATTCTTCCTAAATTCTTAACTGAGCTTGACCAGTTTGGTTTCCTAGAAGGACAGATGATTAATGAGCAGTTTCCACATTGCCCCTTGCAGGATGAAGACCTGAAACGCTAGCATTTTCTCTCTGCATTTAAGAAATAAAATACAATAACCAAACTAGAACAAAATAGAATAGAATAAAAAATACATTATGATCCCAAATTTGTGACAGAAGGATGAGAAATAGAAGAGTTTGAAGTTTTGGTAGCCTGCTTTCTTTTGTTGCTGTTTCCATGTTGGAATACAAATATTTCCGATAAAACTAATTTCAGTTAACCTGAGTGGATGTGGTGTTACATTTTAAAATCCTTGGCTTATGTGAGTACAACACAACTGAAGCCATTTTTCTCCCAAGCTCCCACCCTTGCATAAGTAGACGCATCTGTATTCTCTGGGTACTTTTACTCCACCTCTGCAGGGCTGCCAGCACTCGCAGGTTCAGCAGTCCATTTTGCATCTCTGCAATCCCCGCACATCCAGCTGCCTAGCCAGGCAGGTCAAAAATTGTTGCTGTTGTTATCAAGGGGCCTGTGGCACCTGCGGGGCCTAGCAGTCATTGCGCCTTGCCATTGCTGCGTCTCCATACTCAGCTCTCCATAGTGGAGCTCAACTCAGAAAGCACTGCTGGAAAAGGAAGGCAGCAGCAAGCAAAGAGACATGGCGGCAGAGGAAGGTGTGGGCTGCAAATTCACTCAGCAATGTGTTTATTTATTCGTCAACCACCCAGAAGCTGAGGTGTCTGCTGCTCGTCCCAAGCCCTGCACTAGGTCTAGCTGGAAGCTGGTGTGTCGACAGAGGAGAAAATCTGTGGTTTTGTGTAATTCAGCTTATTAAATAATCACACAGTTTGCCACAAAGAGTGAAAGGAAATGTATACCACACAGCAGGAGCTGTGTGTGGGCCAGCCTAGGCTTACTGTACCTTTTTGAAACACTGTGCTCAGAAAGCCACAAATCTGCACACAAGCCATCATTAGTACCAACAGGTGAAACACAGGCTTTGATGCAACAAATATGACACCTATCCTGCAACAGAGGCCAAAAGTACCTGAGAAACAACCACCAAAGGTTTTTTTAAGAGAAAGGTGCTAAAGGACAGGAATCAAAAACTCCTAAATATTGGTTCTGCTTCTCCCTTTCACTAGCTGTGAGCTTGAATCAATTGTTTCACCTGCACCAGCCACTATAGCCTTCCTATCAGAAGCTCAGATTGCTATGATTTAGATTGTCTTGGCTCAGAAAAATAATAAATTTTTCTGAGAAAGCCTTGTTGAAGTCAGCTGGGGTTAACTAACTCGTGTCACCATAAGCTAGTTAAGAATAGTTTAAAAGCAGATGGGCTTTTTTATTTGTTTGGGGTTTTTTGTTTGTTTTTATACCCCAAACCATGACACAACTCATTCTTACAGGACAAGATCTTAAGAAGAACTATTTGTCTGAGAAAGAACAGAGTGGCTGCATGCTTCTGACTTCAGAGAGTAAGCCTGATTTCTGGAAAGCACATCCATCAGGCTCAGCACTGTTATGAATACAGAAAGTCATGCCTTCGGGGTTGGAGGAAGTTACATTATCTCACAAGCTGTCTCTCTATAACCACTGATTAGCATGGCTTTTATTGGCAGGGACCTATCTGTGTCAGAGAGCTAGACATATTTTGAACTGGTCAATTTGAAAATCCCCTCTCTTCACTCTTTTCTAGGTGAGTGAGGCTGTAGTCTTTACTGATTCCCCTTAGTCCTGCTCTTTTTGGTGCTTTGCCAGTATTAAAGATTCTTCCTGCCTTTATAGGAAAAAGAAGCAGCAAACTGTGAGACAAATCATTCTTTTCTTGCAGGGTGTTTCCTGACTGATGCCTGTGTGCATCTGTGATTTTGTTACTGCTACCTCACTGTCAGTGCAAGAGTGTAAGGCTTTAGATGAAGATGGTTCAGGAAAAGAACAAAGTTCCTTGACATCTTAAAGATGAAGAAAAGGGGAATATACTCTGCTGATTAAAGAAAGCTTACTGGACCTAGCCCAGCCCATCTGGCTGATGCCAGCACTGAAGGGAAAGGCTAATTGCCTAGACCATCTGTCTCTAAGAGGGCTAATTGCTGACATCAGATCTCAGCAAGGGTTGGTGCATTTCTTCAGCTACCTCTCTGGTAATCTCAGAAGCCAGAGAAAGAAGGGCCTCTGCTTTTGAAAGGTATGGCACAGATAAAACTGATTTTGGAGAATAAACACCGAGTTCTCTGACACTCTGAGGTACCGAGGACCACTGCTCTGAGCTCCTGACACAGACTAGGACTTCATGAGGTCTGAATTTAAGAAAACATGCCACAAGGGAAGTATCATGAAGTAGTGAAAAACGTTTCTTAGATTTATGTATATGTATCCTAAAATCATCTTCCTATCTCCCAAAATGTTTTCAATCACCCTTCCAGGCAGTCATCTCGTTTCATCATTTTCAGCCGAAGTATATCCTTGCACAGAACAAGATTATCCCTGCAAACCTATTCCCAGAGACTACCAAAAAGTTTAGATTCTCTTCAAAACATTTTAGTTCTGTTGCAGTTGTACCTGTATCTTGTACAACCTTACATAATTAAGTTCTCTGACACACACACAGAAAAAAAGGGTCTAAAGATGAATACCAGAAAATGAGTTATCACATGCGATTTAAAAAGCAGCAAAAAAGCAGCAAGGGTAAAGACACAATGCAGCTTTGCAACTTTTGCCTTACTCCAGAAAGGACTGACCTGCAATTTTTTTTTATCACAACTGCTAGCAGAAAGGAGTAAAAACCAGACGTCTTCACTTACACAAGCTCCTGAAGATACAAACCCTGCCAAGGAGGATAAGAAAAAAACTCCACAGGAGTATTTTCTGAAGTCTTTTTCCTAAAAGTTTCTCCTGGAGTCAGTAAAAATTCACATACGATGGTAGAAATGAAGGATTTAATTGTTCTAGCAAAGTTCTTAGAGTCTATTTGAAATATTGCACATTTGGACAGGCCAGCACCAGCTGCTATCATAGCATACAAAGTAAGGAAGTGAATATTGCAAAACAAGCAGAACTATTTAGTCAGGTTGAACAAAAAAAATTATCATTTCCTAGGCAAGCCTCGAGTTGTAATGGCCACTTAACATACTGCCAGAGAGGAAGCTGTGTTAAATCCAACCTCCTTGCTCTTCTGCTGGGGAAGACAAGACAGGGCAGAGCTGTGGAAACACTGAAAGGATTATAATTCACCTTCACCTCTTGCAACATGCTCTAATTAGCATGAGGATCAGTATGGACAGGATTCAAGAGAAACCATGAGTAGCTCACAAGAGACTTGTGAAGAACCATTCTACTAGTTAATCTGCAAACAATAGCAGGAATTTAGAGTGGGAAATCGATGCAGGTCTCAGAAGATTTTTCCCTGTCTATTTCAGATTAAGAATGCAGTGAGCATTTCTAGCTGTCTAAGAAACAAGGTGAGGAAAGGAATCACTGAAAGACTGTCACCCTTGTAAGGAAAAAAATATTAGGGCTTTGCCTAGTTTTCTACATAAGATACTCAAAGCAAGACAAAAGATACCCTTCTGAGATAGTTTAGGGAGCTGTGACTGCACGTTTCTGGAAACCCCATGCTGAGGCCTTCAGATAGCACTGGCACAGGCAGGTAAATTATTTGCAGTTATGACAGAATGTTTTGTTTTCAAAACTAAACTATCCGGAACTACAACCAGAGAATATTAGATGAAAACATTCTTGGAGAAGTACTTACTACCAGTATTTAGTAACTTTCTTTCTTCAAGAGTTAGAGAATGTTAGATGTTAGAAGAAAATGTTAAATACGAAAGACAAGCTAGATGGCTTAAGGAATTATCTGAAAAGATCATTGTTCTCCATCGTGAAAGGTTCCCAAGAAGCATTTTAAACCACAATCTTAGTTGCAAGAACAGTAACAGATTTGTACTGCAAGGGGAGCTGTTGGCACGTAATACTGCAACTGTGCATTAGATCATCCACTAGCTTCTGTAATATCTACTTCCAGATATAAGGAGTCATGTTTCAACACCTCCGATTCCCTGATGCTGACAAGCTAAACAACTTGTTTTGTCTCTGGGAGCTCTTCTCTGGTGATTAACTGCTTATGGTGAATACTAATTATATGAAAGTACAGTATAGTCGAAATAGTGTCCTATTTCTTCTACCTGCAGCATCTCCATCCTCTTCTGTAGAGACTGTGTGCTATTAATTCAGCTAAAACCGAGATGATGACATTTTTCAGGACCACAAATAGGTTAAGCTGTCTCTTTCAAGCAAAACTTCCCTCATCCTTCTGTCTGCACAATAAGTTTAAAAGCAAAACACTGCACATTTATAAATGCTTGCAATAGAACAGAAATTTGCAGCAGGATGTGTGCAAATGAGTTCTGGTGGTGGAAGGCAGAGCAATGTCCCCTATTCCCCATGTCTCAGTTTGAAAATTTGCCCCAAATTATCCACTCCTGAAACTGCACCTCTGACTAAAATCTTTTCACCAGGGAATCTATGAGAATTTGTTCTTCAATTTTAAATCTAAAGTGCCTTTTAAAACGCTAACATTGCAAAATTAGAAACCATTAAACAATATAAGGCAGAGAGTGATTAAATCTACCAAACACATTCAAAGCAGCTTAAGCTACTTTTTAATTAAAAAGAAAAAGATATCTCTGGCAACATTCAGACATCTTTATCTAGATAAAGTTAGGAGATTATTCAAAACACAAAAGATGCTGATGCTACCACGCAGGAGACTGAACAGAATGACTTGAAGATTTCAAACCTTCAGTCCTTGGTACACAGTTGCTGGGTACAGAGGAAGAAAGCACAGCCAGTGCTGCAATATGATCACTCTATGCTTGCTGATTAAATAAGTGACACTAACACTGGCCTTGGAGGGAGGCTCTGTGTTCCTCCTTCCTTCCTGACAGGATGGTGACTGAAATCACAGCGGCTGTAGCAATTCAGTAATGCATAACAAGATGTACATTTTAGGAGGAAACAAAATCTGTTAGTTTCAAAAAATAGTTTTCATAAAGAGAAAAAGGCAATACTTTATCACTATTATTTTTTTTTTTAAATGAGCAAAGTTAAATAGAAAACAACATACATATTTAAAGGTATACTTAGCCCCAGCCTTGGAGCTCAAATTCAGGCTTCAGAGACACACAGCTCTGCTGAAGCACTGTAATTATGTCCACTTATTTCATAGCCAAATTCAGACCTGCAGCTTTAAGGATTTTGTATTCATTTAAAGAAACGAACAAGAAAAATGACCAGTAGTTTTAGTCAACCACAGGCAAGACGCCAGGAGCCAAAGTTCAGCCTCCTTCAGGCTGAGATGATATCATCTATTCCAAGGTCCTGAAGCTCTCTGTCTGGAGTATTACAAAATTTACTGGTGAACAGCCTCATCTCTTACTTTCTTATTACACATGATCATTACTCTGTTTCTCTGTTTAATATAAAATTTTAGTTTACAACATCTATAGCACCTGATATATTTTTCTACACTGCTGTTTAACAGAAAATGGGTCTTACCTAAAAAGCAAGCCCTAAAATAAAGCACAGGTACTTGGTAGCTGCTGGAATACAAGACATGATACTCATAGCGAATTACTTCTTCTGTTGCACAGACTCCAGCTACTTGAGAATCATCCAAAGATTCCTAAAACAATAAAACAAACACAAAATTACATAAAGTTTTGTATTTCTATCAAGAGGAAATTGATTACAACTGTTATAACTAATAAACATACAGAACAGAAAAAAATAGCAATCACCCCTTTCACAGCACTAGAATTTTAATACAAGGAAGAAAATCACAGAGGTCCAAACCCTGCAAAGATGTGTTACACTTAACTTTTAAAAACTGTGAACTCTGTGTCAGCACTTGCAGAATCGAGGCCTTTCTAAACGCTGGCTGCTTATGCGGGCAAAAGAAAAAGGCAAAGCTTTCTTTATGGCAGAGTACTTGTACATAGGGTAACCAAATCTGCACCTCTTCTGATTGCCATTATTATAAACCATTTTAAAAGTGTACTCTTGGTTTTGCCTGCCAAAGGATGAATCAACAGTATTCACCAAAAAATCTTTGTTCTTTTTTCTTTAAGGGTTTTTTGCAAAAGTCTGGTTTTAATAATAACACTTCCAAAAGTGGAGACCGTTTTTTTCTCTGGTTACTGTATATTTTGGGTGCAAAGTAATTAATATATATATTGCAGGCCTGAAATAAAGCTGAAGAGATGGAACTTGTTGCATTAAAATATTTTCCAGCTGGAACAAAAATCTCTTAGCATGTGTATTAATTTTCTTAATTTCAAAATGATATTTAAATTGTGCTAAGCACCCAGCTATTTTGACTTTTCTACAAACTGCCAATTCTTCACAACTCTGAAATTGGAGACGTTAAATTACTAATGCCATTAAGATTAAATGTTAGAACAAACTTTCCAAAAAGACACTATGGGTGTGTACTTGTTCGGTTTTCAAACCCCCAAATTTTCATGCATGAACTAAGCAATGATAATGCCCCACAGGTTGGGCGTTTACTCCACAAGATTATTATTGCCAACCATGAATATTGGTTTGCTGTTTCTGTCCACGCACAATGAAAAAGACTGAATGAAAAAGAGGAATCAGCAGATCCCACAATAGCTCAACACACAAGAAATTCAAAGAATTTTGCATTTTTATCTCACATTGGCAGCTAAGCCATGAATCAATCTATGAGGTGGTACAGTAACAGATAAACTATAGCACTAATAACATGCCAAACACTTTTTTTTTTTGTAGTCAACATAAAAGATATTTCCCCCACATTTAGTATACTAGATTACCAGCTGCAGCTGAATGAAGACCATGAATGAAGAACCCAGACTGTGGGAAGCTGCAGACCAAGGTACTGTAAATACAGTTTTGGACATGAAATGACAAAATCACAGATGGCCAGAGAATAGAAGGTTTCTGGGAAGTTCTGTGCAGCTGCACCCCAAGAAACAGGTATATGAAGCACTGAAAGGGAACATTAAAGCAAATACTCTCCATGTTAACCTACTTATAAAAAAATGTATGAAGGGATACTAAAGACAACATTCCAGAAGGGACAATAATAATTGCTGTATCTGACTTCGTAGGACAGGTGAAGGTAATTATGCCATACCTGGTTCCTATAAAACCTTTAACAGACTAAGAAAGACAACTTTTCCTCTTCCTGCATGTCAGAACATGTGATCAGATGTCAAATACAGCAGAATACCATTAAAATACATACATCCTGAGGAAAAGACAGACTCTCTACAGTAAACAATGTTATTCAAATCTGTCTTTTTTCAGTGCTTTAGTGTGAATAATAAAACAAAGAAAACCAGTAGCACGTGGTAATGGAAATGAAAAAACAACTTGGCTTTTGAGTTCATACAGGTAGGAAAGCAAAAGAATCCACATTCAGAATGGAACCTAGATTGAAATCTGCAAAACCCTTTTGGATCAGCCTTTTGGAATCAAAACAATGCTGCTTTATAGACATCAATTCTGCATCATCTTATGCTTACCTTGTCCTAAAAACTGTTGGAAAAGGCAGGACTACCTGGACATGTATTAAATACTGTTGTTCAACCAAAAAAGCTTCATGTACACACACACTCCTCTGTGCTGCTTTGTGTATGTAAGGTTAAATAATTCTAAACCCTCACATAAACATTGATTCGTGTTAATTTTAGACCAATTGATAAAGGAGTCATACTCTTTACTTCCTGCAAATACCTAAGAAAATAAATAACTTAAACTCAAAAATTAAATACTCAAAAGCTGCATACCCTTAGGGAAAACATGTTTTGTAAATAACCTACTTACCATCTCAATAAGTAATAAATTAAGCTAAGAATAACTTTGTCATCAAGAATTGAGACTGCTAGGTTAGCAAGGATTTCAACTGGTAAGCAACTTCTGTTTTCATTTTTGGTATGAGGAAAAGGAAAGTAAAGGAGTCAGTCAGTACCTCCAATTTTATCGTTCCTTAAGAAGGCCAGAGAGAAAACTCTCTTGAGAATTCCTGCCATTACCAGGATATTAGACAGTGGGCCACTTACCAAAACATCCTATTACTTCCAGAGAAAGCTGATTTTCTGCAGAAGTGGCCTTCCCAGAAGATGTACGTAGTCTGATGACAGGAGAGGCAGCAGACAAGGGAAGAAGGCTGTATAAACAGCTTTGCTCTAAACAAATTACTGCACTGGAGAGCAGAATGTTTGTGCACACATTCATTTTGCATTATCCCAGACTTCTCTGACTGATGGTTTAAGCAGTGTCTGAAATCAAGTACTCTGCTTTATGCAGAGCTGGAAGAAGCCTTGAAACTGACATTCTTCTGCTCTGTTACAAGATGGACTTGGGTCTACTACAACATTTCTAAGCTTATTCAGAACAGTTTCTGATAATCAGATCTCTTTTCGTGCCATTTCTAGTGACAAGCGGGTGCATTGTATTTGAGATCTGCATAGAAAGACAGATAGCTGAATCCTTCTTAGGGCTATTTCTAATCTCCTTTCCTTTTGGTAAACGGTAGTGGCAAGACTTCTTACATAAAAAATGCAGCACTGATGTGTAATCCTGTACTTTACAGCCTCTGTACGTATGATGCATAGGTTTTATCCAAGGAAAGTACATCTTGGAGCCTAAACGTTCTGATGGTATCTCTCTCACTGATGAGATGAACTTTGCTGATGAGAGGAATAAAATCAGTACAGTCACTTTAGGCGATCTCTGGAACATCTAAAAATTATGCATGGCTGAATAAGGCCACGGAAGCTCAGAGAGTGTTACATCAGCCCAAAGGAAGAAATATAATTTTTTTCCTCTTTAACCAGCTACTGGTAAAGCCATAAACATAAAATGTAGCTGTAACTCATTAAAAAAAAAAAAAATCACAGAATTTTCTTTTCACTTGATAGCCTATTCAATTTTTCTTCAAGTAATTGTTCTACGTTCCTTTTCAACATATACAGATGTTCTATCTCTTTCAGCTAATACAAAATTTTAGTTATTCTAATAGCACTGAAATAAATTTTAACACTGGGAGATTGCATAACTTTTACAAAACATTCATACATGTACATGAATAAGAAAACAAATTCATAATTTTGCTTTGATCTTGTCAAGACAAACACATCTGCGTAAAGAAAAAAGTTTATTATTGTGTTTACAGAAAATGTTTTTTGACTAACTTGCAATCGCTAAAGATGAGATGAAATAACTGCAATAATTTTATTTCCCTTTTTTTTTCTTTTTTCTTTTTTTGTTTCTTTTTTTTGTTTGTTTTGTTGTTGTTGTTGTTGTTGCTTTGTTCTTTCTTTTTTTTTTTTGTTTCTGCATTGCAATTTGCTTGCATGGTTGCCATGCTTCACATTAAAACTGTGAATCCAGGACTCACCAACTGTTTCCTAAACAAATTGGGAATTTGTCATCAGGAAGCATCTGCTACTCTGTTGCTCTCATGTAAAATCATTCTTGTGCTACTATAATGGACTGCTGAGCAGATGTTTAAAAGCAATGTATCTATTACAAAAAAGATAAGCAGCAACCAACTAATTAATTATATTAGTTCCATCATAAATGAATTATCACTAATTTTAATTGATATAAAATTGTTCTCAACCTTTAAGTATCCCCTAAGCAAATTAAGTTGATTTGTCCCTTTTAAAATGCTAAATTATTTAAATCAACAGATCAGAAATGACGCTGCACATCACTCTGAAGGCAAAGTAATGTGTTTGCACTATTTCCATTCCTCCTGATGAAGACGACGAGTCAACAACCGCCGGTGACATCTGGGAGCAGGACAGAGCCTCTGGTGTGCTCTGATGCTGCTGCATGCAATCGCAGCAGGCACGGGACAGGGCAGCTTGCTCCTGGAGGGAGGGCTGCAACAGAAAGGGAAGGGACAGGAATGGGCAAAGTGAAATGGAAGGAGGCAGATGCACCTGATGGAGAAGGGATTTTCCTCTGCTGACGCCTCATATTTCCCTCTCTTCACCTCACACACAGAGACTGGCTGAGCCAGCATTCCTTTCTCAGCCCAAATTCTCTTTGAAATGCTAACACAAGCCCTAAAGTCTTTTGGGGGGGGAACAGGGAAGAAGAAGTGGTTTGAACGACAGCAGGCACACTCCTCCTGGATATCACATCTACCTTTCTCCCAGTTCCCATGTTCTTTATCTCTGTTTTTGGCATCCTGACCTGCATTTCCTCCTGCTTCCTGGGAGCCTCATGGGATTCTCCTCACACACAAGTGGGGCAGGATGGGGCTGTGGGCAGAGGGGGGAGGAAGAGAAGACCAAGGACCAGACGCTGGGGCCAGCAGCCTCGTTACTGCGGGAAAACGAGATGCAGTCCAGATTAGTAAGAAATTTGTTTTCATTCCTTAGAATGTATTTACACTTAATTACATTTTGACCTCCAAACTTGAAAACAAAAGTATCACACATGTACCTCTTTAACTATTCTTCCAAAAATGACTGTGAGCTCCCGTGTGAAACACAAGAAATCCACAGAACAGCTCCCCTCTCAGTCCAACACTTTCCCTGTGGCAAAACATGAAAACTGAATGGCAGGACAACGTTCATCAGACAGAATTAAAGCAGAGCTTAATGTGGAGGGTGCGGCAGCACG